CACATCTTACATATCTGCAGCAGCCCTGTTTCCGATCAGTCACAGCCTCAGGTCCGAGGAAGGACCTGGATTGGGGGGAGGGGAGACAGCACCCAGCACAGCGCCCTTCTGGGCAGTGCCCCAGCTGTTGGCTTTGTGTCCAGAAACGGTTGAAGTATGTGGCCCGGGCCCGGCTGCTTCCCGCTGGCTTTCCTCTGGGGAACACTGGGCACGGCTGGGGGATGGCCTGGGGCTTCCACCGGGCTTCGCATGTGGACACGGCGAGGTCCTTGGAAACGCCAGGCAGCCCGTGGCTCCCGTGATTGTGGGGCGCTGAGGGAGCCGGGGCTGGGGGATACGGTGACCTCAGCTGCCCGTGAGGGCCCTGCTGTCGGGTGAGGACAGGGCTGCCCGGGGAAGGGGCCCAGCCTGGGACCCGCAGACGAAGCGCCCAGGGCAAGGCGGGTCAGTAGGAAGTAGGAGCTGAGAAGTCGTCGAAGGGGCAGGCGAGGGCCGGAGAGGGTCCTGAGGCAGCGGTGGGCGTCTCTGTCCTGCTGAGGAGAAGGCTGGGAGGACAGCAGGTTGTCCAGGGGGCTGGGGCCGGGAGAGCATTGGCGACCTTGGCAGGATTCCTTTGGCGGCAGGTGGGGACTGTGCCCAGACGGGAGCAGCTGAGGGGGCGGTGGGAGATAGGAGAGCAGCCCACTAGCGGAGAGGCCGGAGGGCGGAGGGCCCGAAGGGCCAGGATTTGACTTCATGAAGGTGAGCGAGACATGGGCACAGATGCATTTCCAAGGTCAGGGCCTGGTTGACGGTACAGGTCCTTGAGCCTGTAGCTCTGCTCCTCTGAGCTCCGGGAAGCAGGGCTGGGCCGTGGGCTGCGGCCTCTCTGTGTCCCGTGTCCACGGAGCTGCCGACCTTCCCCCAGGCCTCCGCCAGCCAGGGCCAGATCTCCCGGCACCAGCCCCAGACTGACGGCTGCCTCTCCTCCTCTAGATGGATGAGATCAAAGGGAAAGACCGGGTGATCCTGGCCCTGGAGAAGGAGCTGGGCGTGCAGGCCGGGCAGACCCAGCGGCTGCTGCTGCAGAAGGAGGCGCTGGACGAGCAGCTGGTTCAGGTCAAAGAGGCCGAGCGGCACCACAGCAGCCCCAAGAGGGAGCTGCCGCCCGGCATCGGGGACATGGCAGAGCTCCTGGGCGCCCAGGTG